ACATCAGTAAATCAAATGTTGTGTGTCCCAGGGCCATGGCATCATGTCAGAAAAAGCCTTCTCCTGCGGGCATGGAGCGATTTCGCCAGTGCAACAGGAAAATGAAGGTGATCTTGGAGCGGATTTTGAGAGGAGCGTCCTGGAGCAAACTTTAGCGAACATCCTCCCGACTCACATGCTCTGGTCTGTACAAACTCACCTTTCTTCTGTGGTGCTTCAGAGAAGCCGTATCCTGGGATGGAGGGACACACCACCTCAAACACTAGATCCCCTGGATTTGTAGGCTCCGTTAACAGGGGGATCAACCCATAGAACTCGTAGAATGAGCCGGGCCAGCCATGGACCATCATGAGGGGAATAGCACGTGTCCCTTCAGGCAAATTCTTGGGTTTCACATGAACATAATGAACATTGATGCCTGGATAGAAGTTCAGAAAGTTCAGATAAGTCAAAGAGCGCCTCTGTAGTTTCTACATGGTCTGTGGTGCAGGCTTACCTTCAATACTGGTTTTAAAATGTGGGTACTGGTTAAGTCTGTCCACCTGTCTCCTCCAGTCGAAGTCCTTCCTCCAGTAGGACACCACCTTCTCTAGGTAGTGGGAGTTGAAGCCGTAGTTAAACTGGCTGTCCTCCAGCGAGGGGACGGGACGGGTCTGGTCCATCCTCCTGTAGAGGTCCTGACAGAGAACAAAGAAAAGACAGAGGATGGTGAGAGGATGAAGACACCGTGGAGTCTGGGGTCCGTCTGATTGGCTAACCTCCAGCTCCTCATCGCTGGTGGTCACTTTAAAGGGGCGGATGGTGACGTCTTCCTCAGCATCAGGGGGCGCTCCGGCTCCCCACCAGCCATTCTCTGACTTTAAAACATGGTTCCTGCTTCTCTGAACCAGGAAGATAATCAATCCTCCAATCGCCAAGGCAACCAGCACTGCTGTGAACATGATGCTTCTGTGTAGAGAGAAAAATATATAAACATGATCCGATGCATAATCCCGCAAAAACTTTTCGGATAATCATTTAATGAGAGAAACAAAAACAAGACTAAATGGAGTTGTGCATTGGTCTACAACTAAAAATGAAATACCTAGATGCTATTTTCAATCAGGAAATACCACCAACACTGAGAAACTAGTCCATGCATTTGTTACTTTAAAGCTGGACAGATTGTAATTATTTGTTATCAGGAAGTCCACAAACTGTAGTTAAAAGCCTTCAGCTGATCCAAAATGCTGCAGCCAGAGTTCTGATGAAAATTAAAAAGACAGATCATATCTCTCCTATCCTGGCTTCACTCTGTTGGCTTCCAGTTAAATCCAGAATAGATTTTAATGGTTGTTTTATCAGGGTTGCCCCTCCTGCCAAGGAACAATCCATGAAATGTTGGTGACGACCCAGATCATAATCTGTACACAGGATTTTTTTTTTAAAACATTCTCAAACATTGTGTGATAAGGATTTCTGGTAGTTCCCCACTAAACCAGAGGGTGGCAGCAGTGACTATTGACAGCCTCAGCATCGGACTTTAGTCCCTAGGTATTTCACTGAAGACATTTCACTTTTACCAGAGCCGCTTGCCTCATGCCAAGGAACAAACCATCTAAATTTGGTAATGAGGTCATGTGCAAGTTCGAGCTACAGATGGAAGTTTCTTGTCATTATGGGGCAAGATTTGCTGCATGGCAGAGGTCTGCACCATCTGAATGCTTTTCTAGTTCCTCTTGTTCCTAACAGAGCACTTCGCTCTCAGTCTGCAGGTTTACTAGTGGTTCCTAGAATTTCCAAAAGTAGAATGGGAGGCAGATCTTTTAGTTATCAGGCTCCTCTCCTGTGGAACCAACTACCAGTTTTAGTCCGTGAGGCAGACACCCTGTCTACTTTTAAGGGTAGGCTTAAAACTTTCCTTTTTGATTAAGCTTAGTTAGAGTGGCCCCGGTTATCCTGAGCTATCTCTATAGTTATGCTGCTATAGGCTTAGACTTCTGGAGAACATAGTGACCCCTATTTCATCATTCTATTTCTATTCTTCCACTCTGCAGAATTGTGGTTCAATCTCTAGCATTATGCTCTCTCTGCGTTTTCTCATAGTAGTTTCGCCTCATCTGTTCCTGTTTGGCTGTGACAACATCCTGGAAAGAAATATCA